GTGTGTGTGTGTGTGTATTATCTACCTATCTTGTCCCTGACCGGAATAGTGACCTGAGCAGGTGGTTGAGGCAACATGAGACTGAGCTCCCAGGACACTCACACAGCCATGCTAAACACATGCCACTGTGCTGCGAGAACATACACCTGTGAGCTGAATACCTCCTGCGATGTGATTATGACAGATGTGTGTATCTGTGTGCAACTGCACTTCACTAGTTTTTCATGATACACAAATAATCTTCTTATAGACTATGTTAATATGTCACATACATAATAAAAAAAAATATGAATATGAAGTAAAAGTTGAAAGAAAAAGAAAATAATAAAAGAACATCATATTTAATGGGGTGACTGTTTGCTATGAGGCTCGTGCCACTGGAGATGACGCATGTTCATTTGAAATGACGTTGGTATATTGACGTCACTGAATGCCATTCACAAATTGCTATGTAGTCTATGTAGCACGCTTGACCTGTCTGCTAGATACATCCAAGGCGAACTGATGTGTCCTTATTTGTATGCATGTGTGCATGCAACCTTAAAAAAATATGAATAAGTTAACGTGTGCACATGGATACAGTATCTATGAGCATGTGCATGTACAGTAGGAGTGTGCGCATACTGTACGTGTGCATGGATTCATTGTGTAAATGTGTGTGAATTTCTACCTCGAGGATGAGGCTTCTCCACTTTAGAGTCTGTATGTGCTGACAGAAGAAGTAGAGCTATACTACTGGCTGTATTATGAAGCCAGAGAGGCAGTAGGGGAACTGATATGGGTATCAAAGCCTGCCTCTTTGCCTTTGTGCCTTTGTGTGGTAGCCATCAAAGACTTCCATAGCCATCCTGGCATCCCACAGGATTGGCCTCTTATATAAGAACACACCAGCCAGCATACTGCAGGGCTGAAGTGGTGCTGAGGGAGTGGGGGCGGCCGGGGGAGGGAGAGAGGGATGCACTAAATATTCCTCAGAAATTTCCTGTTTGCTTCCTGCTTTCAGAGTTCACTCCATCCCTTAATTACGTCTGTCCTTCTCCAACTTGCTTTCCCTTTGTTTCTTTTGTTTACTCTAATAAGAGCTCTCACTAAATAGATACGCCAACATGTATTATACTATCTATTATTTACTATATGTACTAGATTTTGTGTTCTATTTTTATGTATGTACTGTGTATATGCATGTACTGGTGAACTGATGTATGTATATACAACTGATGTAATCAGTTGGGTAGCTAAGTGGTTTACAAGCTGCAGTAAACACATGCTGTAGCTAATTACCGATGATGGAAGGTAAAAAACAGTGCAAGCTTGTAAGCTGATATCATTTAAAGTTTACCCTAAGTTTATCTTCTACCTGGTGCATGAGGTAACCTCTTTTATGAATGAAAAGATTATAAAACAGACTAAATGTGCCATTTAAGCCACCAAGTCTAAGCTGCACTCTGCCGGTGCTTAATTCCGTTGAGCTAAGCAGCTATGGAGGTACAATAGTCTGATGTAATGTTGCAATGCATTCCTCCAGGTTTTTCTAAAGTGATAACATCTTGTTAATGCAGCACGTCTTGGTGAAGAAACGCTGCCAGAAAAAGGAAACTGAGGCAACCTCATAGCTCCATCAGCAAATCACCATTTGAACCATGTGGCTATAGACGACATTTAAAGACTTTTGATAATGTAACAGATTTTTAAAATAGATTCAAATAGATAGAGATGCGATGTGATGAGTTTTTCTCTCTTGTTTGGGCCACCACCATGTAGTTTCATGAACAATTGTGTGGAAAGCTTATTTTTATAGTTAACTAATAGAGTTGTAATCACGATTGTAACATTTAGGTGATCCAAATACACATACAAAACAACTCAATTTGTATTTCTGAAGGCACCTGAGCCTTTGTCCATCTGAGTAAAAAACATTGTGTTTCCACTCAGCATGCAATACAAAGTATGTGATGCTAAAACGACTGCACCACTAGTTTCTTTCTGTTCCTATCACATTTCAGTATTTTTTAAATCCAAAAGAACGGTACTCAGTGACTGAACCTATATCATGGGCACTGTTTTGTTTCTTAGCTCTCAGACATAACTCAACCACCATCTGGACTCTGTACTCTAACTTAATCTCGAGACTGGTATTTGGCAAGTGGAAGAAAGACAGAACTGTTATGATACACTGAGTAAATGAAAGGACTCCCGTTGTATATTGACTGCAGACAGAAACTTCACAATGTGTGGTGTGGGGTCAGATTTGACCTGACTGTGACAATGAAATCTTGGAGACATGTCCGTGCTAAAGGTCCTGATTTAGAAACACAGGGAAAAGGAAGGCTAAATGGAAATAAATACACTCTGAATTGTAAAGGTATTAAGTTAAATTTGCTGCTGTTTTATAGATTTATAAAATGTTTTTTAACTGGCATAAAGCCTGGGAGACACACAATTATGCTTCCTGTATGCCAGAAGTAACTGCATTGTCTAAGTGCATCCACTGGGTTTCAAAGTTTCAAAGTAGAGTTAAAACTAGAGTTGACACAAATATGTAGCTCTCCATCTTAGAAACACAGTGGCAACACTCTGCTTTCACCAAGACTGCCATCGTGCCTTGAGGGGTAGGAAGCGAAATCTGTGGGATCCTTCTATCGCAGATGTCCCGCCTGCTCAGCTCATTCCCCATGCAAGTTCCATAAGGGCATTTGTCAGTTGGTCAGCCATCAATGAATAGACTCTACAGGGGTTTACAAGGATAGTGACACAAAGACAGGCACAAATGGTGTGTGTGTGTCAGTGTGCAGGTGAGTAAACATGGTCATGCCAGGAAAATTATTACTCAGGCATGTTGCTCTAACAGTCTGAAGACATCCTGATCTTGGCAATATAAGCTTTCAGGATATCTTTGCCAAATTCTTTATTATGTACCAGACCTGTCACCTGAAGGAATATCAATGCAAACAGGTTTCAGATTCTGTGATTAGAAAATGTAACAGTCCGTCTATATATTTATATATCTATCTATTTACGTATCCATTTCTTATTGCATACAGGTCTAATTGGCTAAGGGAATATCTCTATTCGCTGCATTCACTGTAAACAAGAGATCATCTTAAGCACTTAGATAGATTGGATTCAATTACAGTCTGGTATGCTCTAAATATCAGATAAGATAAAATTACACAACCGTTCTAAAGGTGACAAGTTGAGTGAATGCCTCATGAATCTAAAACAGCAGCCAAGGACACAGACCGCCTGCTTTGCCAAAAAGAAAGCACTGCAGAACTGTCTCACTGTTTCAGGGCTGGTCTCGTGATAAGGTTTCATTGTCACACAGAGGGAGCAGAAATCTATGCAGCTAACCCATTATATTTAAGTCTCAGCTAAATAGGCTTTAGTATAATAGAATAGCTTTAATATTGTGATTAATGGTTAATTGAGAGTGCCATATATGATGTACGCTATAATGGAAGTAGTATGTATGGTATATATTATCTAATTTTGTAAAAGATAAATTCTTATATTTAGATGTATGTGTTCAGATGCAGTAACATTATGTCTTTACATGTATGTTAAACACCACGAGGAAAAGCCTATAAAGTTACTTCTGCAATGGCTACCGATTACAGATGGCTTACCAGTATTTTGGTGGTATAGGCGCTGTTGATGGAGATGGAATTGACCAGTAAGTCCAGTGATTTGGGTGGCAGAGCTCCAGGTTCCGGGATTTCTTTGTAGTGCACATCTCCAATATAACATTGCACAGCCGTCATGCGATTAGTGGTTAGTGTGCCTGTCTTGTCAGAGCAGATGGCTGTAGCATTGCCCATCGTTTCACATGCATCCAAGTGACGCACCAGGTTGTTGTCTTTCATCATTTTCTGTGGGTAGAAAAAAACGTGATGATCAGGATCTGGTTCCAATGCATATTTGAAAATGCTTTTAAATATTTGACCTATTACATAAATTAGCTTATCAGGCACTTGCACTGTTTAAATTTTACCGACTATACTGGTTACAATCACAAAAAGAGGGTTGCTTATGCTCACACTGTATGTTAAAATGTTTATTTAAGTTACAGCAACAGACGTTGAATTAAAAAAGCTCAACACAGTGTGACCATTAACTATACCAAATTCTCATGTAACACCACATTTTTCATTCTAAGTTTGCACAAGCAAAGTCAAATGAAAAACAACAAAAACTGCATAAAAATTAAATACATTCATAAAAGTCCCAGTCTTAAAAATATACTACTAAATGAGTACAGTGAGTAAATGGCCAGCCCTCACAGCAGAAATACAGCAGTGCCTCAATGTATGCACTGTATGTGTTTATATGTGTTATACACTGGTTCACCTTGACAGAGTAGGCTAGGGAAATGGTGACAGCCAGCGGTAGCCCCTCTGGCACAGCCACCACCAACACAGTCACACCGATGATGAAGAACTTTACAAAGTACTGGATGTAGATGGGAGTGCACTCTGGCATCCATGGGCGCTTCTGCATCACAAAGTTGTCAATGGCAAAGAACAGGACCAGGATGATGACTGTGATGGCCGACATGAGCAAACCTGAAAAAAGATATAAAAGGTTTCCAGCTGAGCCAATGGAGCGATATATAATGAAAGTGGATTGGATTCATAGGAACATGACCATGAAGTTTCTTTCTAAAACAGTTTCAACAAAAACTGAACATTACAACCATATGAAGGTAGGATTTATTACTTAAGTTTATTGTATTGGACTGGGCAACAAGGTTAGACAGACCTTAATCATAATCATTTATCACTCGTTCTTCCATTACCAAATATATATATCATTCTGCTTGCGGCTGTCGCACAGAGGCAGAGCGTGTTGTCCCCTAATCAGAAGATTGTTGGTTCGATCCCCGGCTCCTCCTGCCACGTGTCGAAGTATCCTTGAGCAAGATACTGAACCCCAAATTGCTCCCGATGCATAGCATCGGTG